CGCTTAAATTCTATATATATATATATATATATATATATACATAATATATATTATATAAATATAAATATTTTATATATGAATAACACATTTTCTTAAATATATACATGCATGTGTGTGTATTTATATATACAAAATAATTATATTCAGCACACACAAATATATTATGTAAGCACAGACTTTTATTTTGGGTGCGATTAATCGCAATTAATTTTTGCACAGCCCTAGTAAAAATATGTTACAAAACATTCTATTTCAAATAAATGCTGTTCTTTTGAATTTTCTATTCATCAAAGAATCCTGAAAAATTAAATATATCACAGTTTCTACAAACATATAACATTTTTTCAACATCGATTATAATTAGACATTTTTCTTGAGCAGCAAATCCTCATATTAGAGTGATTTCTGAAGGACACTGAAGACTGGAGTAATGATGCTTTGATCACAGGAATAAATTACATTTTAACATATATTTACAAAGTTAACAGTTATTTTAAATTGTAATGTGCATAATATTTCACTTTTACTGTAATCAAACTGTGATTTACTGTGATTATCAAATAAATGCAGCCTTGATGAGCTGAAGAGACTTCTTAAAGAACATTAAAAATCTTGTCGACCCCAAACTTTAGATCAGTAGTGTTTATATATACTGTATGCTATTTTTTTAATATAATCATCCACTGTTCTGAGAAAAAGATAATTTTACCAATTTATTTTTTAGGAAGGTTAGTTAGAAATTCCCCATAAAATGATTTCATGGCATGCATTGATGATATTTATAAAAAAAATATTTCTGATGGAAAAAAATATGCATTTAAAAAAAACAAAAGTGATTAAGCTTGTGTGTATTCCATATATATATATATATATATATATAATTTATGAGATCAATACAAATATAAAAAAATACATTGCAAAAATAAAAAATGTTTATGTTTTAGGTTTCAAATATTTGTATTGTCTTTATTTGCCATTGATCATTTACTGCTAATAACGAGTTGAATAAATGTGGCTTTGTGAGTCTTACCCACCTGCCTGTAGCTCTTCTCTCCAGCTAGTCTGCCCGGCGAGCATCTAATGCATATTTATTCCACACGAATCTCACTCATGGATCTTTTGTACACTCTAAATTGTCCCGAGACTCCCAACAATTGGTCCATTCAGGAGCGTTTGATTGGGTTTGCCTTCGGCCGGCGTGGGAGAGAGTCGAGCCGAGTGCATGAAAGGAGAAAACGCAAGGACGCACAAAGCCTGTTGTGTTGTTGTTGTTTGTGAGACTATTTTTTTCTATAAGATTGTTGCTTTGAAAATGTGTTGTGCAGCTTTTGGTTGCATTGAACATGGGATTTTAGAGCATAAATTTGTTTAAAAGTGGTGATTGTGCAATATGTTGTGTGTGTTGCTTACTCTGTCTTATAAACTCTGCTCCTTCCTCTGTTCCTTCAGTGTTACTGTGGACACGAGGTGATTGTAGTTACTACAGTGATTGAACAAAGTGCCACGGTGCCAGGAATGTTGTGGAAGAATGTGTTGGGTTGGGAGGGGGGAATAAACCACACTGGCTCTGATAACAGAAGAACCGGACAATACTAAACCCTCTGATGACCCTGAACGCGTCTATTGCCTGTTTCAATGGTGCTTCATAAATAATAAGTAGATATTGTTGGAGATAGTGAGGGTTCTTGGAATCAGTGTGTGTGTTTGTTTATATCTTCAATGCTAAGGTAAATATATATTTTTTTCTGTTCCGATTTTTTTTAAATACCCGTCTGCTCACCAATTTAATCAAAATAATACAGAAAAAAAGAAGATATTATTACAATTTAAAATACCAGTTGTCTATGAGAATATATTGTAAACTGTAATTGATATCATGTAATCAAAGCTGAATTTTCAGCATCATTACTCCACATGATCCTTCAGAAATCACTCCAATAAGATGATTTGATCCTCAAGAAGCATTTATGATTATTATTAGTGTTGAAAACAGTTGTGCTGCTTCATATTTTTGTGGAAACTAGGATACCTTATTTTTTTCAGAATTTTTTGAAAATTAGCAATTATCTGAAATAAAATTTTTGTAACATTCATTATAAATAAATTTACTGTGACTTTAAGATCAATATAATGCATCCTCCTTGCAAATTTTTTTGTCAATTTCTGAAAAAAATATTGTTCTGCACGATTAATCATATCACAATTTCGATCTCAAGCCTATATGATTAAATGACGCAAAATGTGGTTTATGAAATATGTGTGGACATAACAACCCACAGCTGTTTGCCCCTTTTCTGCACCGCTAATAAAAAAAGACCAGGGGCCAGTTTCACAAAGCTATTTTAGACCGCTCTATAGTGTTAGACAAGTGTAAAATTTGCTAATTAGTCTAATGCAAGTTAGAATGATGAAAGTTTTCATATATGTATATTTATATATATATAAATATTTTACACAATTAACCTCTAATTTCCCATTGAATTCTTGTAATATGTTGATCTGACCTTATAAACCTCATTTAACAGATATTATTGAAACTAGAGTAATCCATCTGTGGTATCGGACATTTTCACAAATGTTAAAGCTACACTGTGTAACTCTTCTAGGTTATTCTTAGCTAAACGTAGTTCTTTCAAAAATGCGCTCATTAATGTATATTTATTTCGTTCAAGTAATAAAGTATTCTCGTAAGTGTATAATATGCCATTGAAAACACATACGGGTAAGGGGTTCTAATGTCGCTCGCCATGTTGCCCCTCCATCTTGAAAGTACATTAGCCAAAGAGGGACATACCCGTTAATTAAAGCTTCGCCTTTCACGCTTACGTTTGAGTTAACACTTATGGACGAGGTCGAACTGGAAGCCATGTTAATCTTGGACTACATTGGCCACCGTAGGAGTTAAAATGAAATCGGAATTGAGAGGAACAGAAACTAATATTCACTGGATGGTCATATACCTTTTCACCACTAGATGGGGGTAAAAATCACACAGTGTAGCTTTAAGTAGTTAAGTAGTTTCTTCAGCACAAACACGTTTTAAAAATGCTTTATGTTTGAGATATGAAATGCCACAGGCTCTCTGAGACCCAGACAGAGCACAGGGTTATGGTTCGGGTTAGTCTGTTTAAATTGCTTTTAAGTTTGTGGTGCGACCTGATTTAGACAAACGTGTGTGAGTGTAAGCAAACATGTCTGCAGTTAGTTCATGAAACATGAACATTAGTCACACACTAATGCCACTCCTTAGTGCAGTATGAAATGCGTGTGTGTGAGAGAAAGAGAGAAAGTGTGTGTGTGTGTGTGTGTGTGTGAAGAAGGATTAGGAACAGATGCTGGCGTTGGCGATAAGCCACATTACAGCTCTCTGAACATTTCGTAGAGGGAGATGTCCGCTCTGGTTCTGTCCCGAAACTCAGATGTGTGTTTATATTCACCGAATCCATGAGGACTTTTAATATCGTTCAGCAGGTTTATTTTGTCCAGCTGCTTGCACTCAAATCCACTCAAACTTGGATTTACATGGCATTGTTTCTATGTTTTATTAACATTGTTTCTATTAACATTAATGTAACATTTCTAGTTCAAATCCATCTGATAACCTGGCATTGTGGTTTTCTGAATCATATTATTAGACATATATTTGCATAGCAGATGGTCAGGAGCTCATGAATATTCAGTACTGTTTCTTCATGGTTCTCTTTACATTTTCAGTTTCTGTGCTTGTGTTTGTCTGTGTGTACATTTGTAGTGTTGGGTTTGAGTCCACCTTATTCGAGACGAGTCAGAGTCAAAAATAACAAAATAATCATGAATAAACACCAGTAGGTATGTTAAATGATACAGTACAACTGAAATGTAGATCAAGAGTGTTTCAACTGTGCAAAGACGTCAATAAAACAAGCAATATGTCTCCTAACGTTACATTTACTTCAGAAAAGACATTCATTAGACCATAAACTCATTAGTTTGCTAAAAAAAAACGTACTTAATAAATAAATGCACGTCTTATTAATGCCTTATTGATTTTCCATTAAATACATATAAATAAATATATATATATATGAAGAGTTCAGATGCAAAAGCCTCTAAGTGCCATTTGAAATTTTCTTCTAGAATGATCATTTTTATCAAGCTTGTATATTTAAGTTCAGTGATTTCACTTAAATGGCAATGATAATTACCTATTAATTGTTATTTAAGTGAAATTACTAAACTTAAATATACAAGTTTGATAAAAATCATCATTAAAGAAGAAAATTTCAAATGGCATTTAGAGGCTTTTGCATCTGAACTCTTCATATATACAAATATATACAAATATATATATATATATATATATATATATATATATATATATATATTTATTTATAATGTATTTAATGGATAATGTAAAACATGTTTTTATTACAGCAACCGTTTGAATGTTTATATTTCAACAACGAATTTGAGTAGAAACATAATTCATTAAATAGTTGATTTAAAAACTGTGTTATGTACAGCGTAAATCATGCAATTCGTCTTTTTATTTGAATGTTAATTATTAAATCAATTTATTATTAAGTAAACGGTTTTATCTTTTTGGCTAAATGAAAACTAAAATATTTTTTTTTATTTCATTTCGATGCATGACTAGTAGAAACAGAAACCGGCAGCGTTGTGTCAATCATTGACCACATGTAATGTAATATCATGTGAATATCCTTCACATTATTACTAAACAATTCAGAAAGGCTATTATATTGAAACCATTCCCTTCGGTTCGGTTGAGGACCACGAGGTTTGATTGATCCCAGTTCCTTGCCTTTGAAGGCCTGGATCGTTTTCAGTTGTACACAAACCGTACACAAACCAGCCATTACAAACAGACCCACAGCTTGAAGCATTAGCAGAGAGTCGATGTCACAACCAACATCAACATATCATCACTGCTCAGTCTGGATCCGACTCGAGCGTGTGTCTGAAATAACAGTCCTGAATCTTTGTTCTCTCGCCCACAGAGAAGAAGTCCACGAGAACGCCGTTCGTTGGAGGAAGAGGTTCTCCTTTGTATGCAAAATGAGCGCCAACCCCAACACGGGCGTTCTGGACCCCTGTGTGTGTCGCGTCTCTGTGAGGAAGGTAGGATGAATTCGTTACGGGTTGGTCTCGTTAAATTTTGGCCGGAAAGCATGTCTAGTTTGAGTTGGAACTAAAATTAAAGACGAAGGTTTTCATCACGTGTTGCTTATGAAGAGTGTGTTTGGGTGAGGTTGCGTTTAGGTATGTCGGGATAAACATCGATGCCGTTCAGTGCGTCTGCCTGTCCCGTCACTGAACTTCACACTCTTCCTGTTTTTCATTACAGGAACTCAAAGGAGGAAAAGCATTTTCAAAGGTGAGTGAAAGCATTCACATCTTTCCTTTCTGCACATTTATATATAGAACTAAGGCGGTGCAATTTAACACTCAAAGGTTCACAAAAACAATTTATACTTGAAGAATGAATAATACTTTTGTGAAATCTCTTTAAAATGATGTTCACTCACATGAGATAAAGACTCAATAAATTAGTTTTATCCAGCAAGGACGCATTAAATGGATTAAAAGTGACAGTAAAGATATTTATAATGTTACAAAATTTCCACAAAACTGTTTTCAATACTGATAATAATCATAAATGTTGAGCAGCAATTCATCATATTAGAGTGATTTCTGAAGGATCATGTGACACTGAAGACTGGAGTAATGATGCTGACAATTTTTAACATATATGAACATAGGATAAAGACTCTTGAAAGAAAGAAATTAATTTTATTCAGCAAGGATGCATTAAATGGATCAAAAGTGACAGTATAGTGTTACAAAATTTCCACAAAATTAACACTGATAATAATCATAAATGTTGAGCAGCAAATCATCACATTAGAGTGATTTCTGAAGGATCATGTGACACTGAAGACTGGAGTAATGATGCTGACAATTTTTAACATATATGAACATAGGATAAAGACTTTTGAAAGAAATAAATTAATTTTATTCAGCAAGGATGCATTAAATGGATCAAAAGTGACAGTATAGTGTTACAAAATTTCTACAAAATTAACACTGATAATAATCATAAATGTTGAGCAGCAAATCATCACATTAGAGTGATTTCTGAAGGATCATGTGACACTGAAGACTGGAGTAATGATGCTAAAAAAATTCAGCTTTGATCACAGGAATAAATAACATTTTTAACATATATGAAATGAACATAGAAAACCTTTCTTTAAATTGTAATAATTCCTCTACTTTTGATCAAATAAGTGCAGCCTTGATGAGCAGAAGATACGTCCTTCAAAAACATTTAAAAAAATCATGTCAACACAGTAGTTTATAATATGTTTGTAATTATATATTTGTGTATTTATAATACCGGTATTGGTATCAAGCCAGATGCTGTACTTGTGTACTCATTAAAATGCTAAAAAAAATGAATAAAATATAAAGGGTCTATAAACTGCGGTGTCAATTTGAGCAATCAAGCAGTAAATCAAATTTACGAAATACTGGAAATGCCTCTTTTCTATTTTCATTTGTCAACGGACCTTTGAGTTGAAATGCTTTCAGTTTTGTCCTCGAGAAGCACTATCCCCATTAAAATCTCAAATAAATCTAGTTGATATTTTCCATATGCTGTCCAATGCATGTCACGTGAAAGGACCTTTACGAGGTGTATCTGGAGTCATACGTCCCATCAAACTTTACAGCATTATTGTGTACAGGAGTCACTAACCTCACCATGCTGTAAACACATTTGTCACAAGATTTACACACTCATTATGATGCCATGGTCATTTGACCGCAGTCTTCAGGCATGTGACGCTTATCTAACATGAGCAATGCTTATCACTGCTCACATAAAAGACCATTCAAAGTCGTGGCTGGACGTAAAAGTGCTCTAGATTGCACACAAAGGTGGGGAATGTTTCATTCTTCGGCAGTTAATCGACTTTTCCTTGTATTTTCCCCTGCAGCAGGGCTAACTTTGGATTTCCCTGATCTAAAAATACTCAATGAGGGCTCTTTAAATACATGCATCTGGTAGCAGTGAGTGTTCGGGGAAATGAGCCCTGGGGGATCCAGAGACTTGACAATAAGTCAACAGGATGTTTAACCGTCAGCCCTCTTCTAAACATTCACCTAAAGCTCAGTGCCATTTCATTGGTGTCAAAGTATCAACTTAATGAATGAGCTGTGAGTTGCTCTAGTTGAGAAAATGTATGTTTATAAGTGTCACAAAATGGCCCAAATCCATTACAGTTTTAAAACGGTAATATAACCTAAATAATCTTGGCAAACTATATATCATTTGAAAGCTTACAATCTCTACTTTCCATATTTAGTGATTGATTTTCAAAGTAAATTACTGAGGAGCCGTAATTTATCAATTTGCAGCAAGAATATTTTCAATATTTTAGACCTTTATTTTGAAATAATGATGAACATGAAAAATCATGAAAGAATGGAAGAAACCTCAGTTTTTCATGCCTAGAGTTCAAAAGATCGCATCTATTCAATTATTTTAGACAAAGAGGTCTGACATAAAAAAAAAAAAAAATTTTGTCATTTATATTCTATTCTATTTTTTTTTCTCTACTAGTATTTTTACCCTTGTATTGCATTTTATCAAAAAGCCCTTATTGTATTGCTCATGTATTTTATCGCATGTATTACATTTTACTAAAAAAGCCCTTCTAGGGACTAATTTTGTAAATTAGCTTTGGCTAAAAACATTGATACATAAATCAGATCACCGTCAAAGTGTATCTATGTTATCTGTATCTGTCCCTATCTAAATAAACTATAATAATAATAATCATTTGTGATGTGGGAGCGATCTATAATGCACATACTTGTTATTTTCATGTTTCTTAGAGGATAAATTCATATCAAAATCTGCCAAACTTCTCATATTACTTCTGAATAGGATGTCTACTTCATAAAATGTATGAAAACTGTGGAAATAATGGTTCATATCACTCAAAACACATATGGAAATGGAGGCGCCCTTATATGGGCAGTAATGGAGTCTTGGTGGTCACCTAGTGGAAGCGTTCGGTACTGCGCCCAAACACACTCTCACTGAAAACACAACTTGTTCAGATTTTTGGCTTTGATTTTTTTTTTTTGCATTTTTAGAGTCACCTAGGTTTTGAAAAGATATATTTTATATAAAATATGATTTTTTTTTTTTACTTTGTACATTTTAATAAACTCAAACCTCTATAACATAACTTTTTTACTTTACGTTTCACTTTCTTAATTTATTTCACTTCTACAAAAATCTGTCAAATGTCTTCTTTAAAACAAGACCAATCTTACATCTATATTCCAAAGAATTCTTGAACTACAACCATTTTAGTTTGAAATGTTCATTTTCATGTATATTAAAAAGGGGGGTGACGCTTAATAGGTTAATTCAACCAGTTATTTATAAGTTTAGACTTACAATTTTTAACTGTTGCACTATAAAACAGAAAATGGAAACAATCCTACAGATTAAAAACAATATGAAAAAAGCAAGGATGCATTAAATTGATAAAGAAGTAACAGTAACGACATTTATAATGTCACAAATGATTTATATTTTAATTAAATGCTGTTCTATTCATTGAAGAATCCTGAAATAAATGGTTCAAGGTTTCCACAAACATATTAACTGTTTTAAACATTGATAATAGTCAATAAATGTTTCTTAAGCAGCAAATCAGAATGTACGATTCATTTCTGAAGGATCATGTGACACTGAAGAGTGGAGTAATGATGCTGAAAATACAGCTTTGATCACAGGATATAAATTACACTTTACTATATATTCACATAGAAAACAGTTATTTTAAATTGAAATAATATTTCACATTATTTCTATTTTTATTGTATTTTTGATCAAATAAATGCAGCCTTGGTGAGCAGAAGAGACTTCTTTCTAAAACAAAACCAAAACATCTCACAGAGGAAATATAATATTTTGTGTTTTCCGTCACATTATGTGGGAAACACATGATTAATTTTGTCATCACTGTGATATTCCAGGACAGACTCGGGATTCCCCTGTAGCACAGTTCAATCTTATAATCATATTAGTTATGAAACGGCAAATGTTCAACAAACTGTTTGGCTGAGAAAGAGCAGGAGGGAGTTGCCTGACGTGCACCATATGCTCAATACCACTGCCAAACTATAATCAGCACACATCTCACATTTGCTGTGGCATGATGGGAATCCTGTGCTTATAAACAAAAGCGAATGTCACCCGTGTCTGTATGTGTCTGATCTTCACAGCTGGGCTTTGCTGATCTGAACATGGCAGAGTTTGCTGGTTCAGGCTCCACCGCGCGCTGCTGTCTGCTGGAGGGATACGACACCAAGAACACACGCCAGGACAACTCCATCTTGAAGGTCAGAGGTCAAACCGGAGCTGACGTAACTGCATCATTCTTTTTTTTAACTCTTCCTTATCAGAAGCAATATTTTCTAGCAGGTATACACAAGGAGATACAATTACAAGAAGGATAACAAATACGTGCATAAATAAATTAATTAATTAAAAAAATACATTTTTCAATCCTTATTATTTTAAAACATAAATAAATAAGCGAGAAAGCTAAGAAGAGAAATCGACGGCACTGGGTTTGTAAACATGTCTGTGATTGCTTGCACATTTCGGCTCTCCGGTATGATTTATTAGTCGTGGTTATGCAATATTCCTGAAACTGAGCTCCATCTTTGCTCCAAGTCTAAGGTTTCAAGTTAAGCAACTTAAGCAAGCATATTCATTAATGTTAAATTGATCTGTAAAAATCAAATGTTCTTTCTTGTCCAAATGAAGGTGACCATTGGAATGACCCTCTTATCTGGAGATCCGTGCTTTAAAACGTGAGTGTCACTTTTCACTGTTATCTGCTGTAATGTGGGCTCTGTCGCCCCCTTTAGGCTGATAAATGACAATACAACAAGCAATAATGAGTTTGACTGATTTAATGAGTGTCTGAAATTTGTTTTTGTATAATTAGTGCCCCAAGCTCAGCCAAATGTATATCTGTGGCCGGCCGAGACGCTTCCCTGCAGCTGGACTGTAAAGGAGAAGGACAACAGAGGCCCTCTAACCTCGGCTCTGGTAAAGTCGTGTTATTAAAGGTGTATTTCAGAACAGACATGATAAATGAGAGTGATTTATTTGTCAGTAGCAATATGATTGATAAATAGGCAGTTCAGTTAAAAATTGAATGATATATTTATTCAGTAGTTTATCGGGTTTAAAAGATGCTTATGCCTAATTAAGCTTTTGTTTTCATTTAATTGAACTAATCTGAATCAACACTGAAGGTATTAGTTTACTTAAAAAAAAACTTTTGCTGATAAGTTACTCACCCCCATGTCATCCAAGATCCATATCTTTCTTTCTTCAGTCGAAAAGAAATGAAGGTTTTTGATGAAAACATTTTTCTCCATATAATGGACTTCAATGGGGACCAAACGGTTCAAGGTCCAAAAGACAGTTTCAGTGCAGCTTCAAAGGGCTTTAAACGACACCAGACGATGCTAGTTCTTTTTTTTGAGAGTCATTTGGTTAATTCAACAAAAAAGATTCGTTCATTTTGATGAACGAGTTTGAACAGGAGAGTCGCACAACAGAGCAAGGTGAGTATTTGTGCTTATAAAACTTAAAGTTTTTTATTTATTTTTTAAAAGACCGCTCGTTTCGCTAGATAAGACCATTATTCATCGCCTGGTGTCATTTAAAGCCCTTTAATGCTGCACTGAAACTGTCTTTTGGACCTTGAACCGTTTGGTCCCCATTGAAGTCCATTATATGGAGAAAATCCTGGTATGTTTTCATAAAAAAACCTTAATTTCTTTTCGACTGAAGAAAGAATGACATGGACATCTTGGATGACATAAGTGAGTAAATTATCAGCAAATGTTTTTTTTTTTTTTTAAATGAACTAATCTTTGAACTGACCTTTCAATAATGACAGTATTATCTTCTGTGGAGTTCTTTTCATTTCATAATTGAAGAATTTTGCAACATTAATATTGTTTTTTTCTGTTATTTCTGCTTTAAAATAATCAGTATTGTATAAAGCGCTATAGAAATAAATGTGACTTGACATGGCTTGAGTAGTTCTATTTTAATTTTTAATTTTCATGTTTTGTTTTCGTTTAGCTCTTCCTGACGAGGTGGATCGCAGTCAGAGTCCCGATGAATCGTTTCACACGGGTCATTCGCGCAACTCAAGTTACGCCAGTCAGCAAAGCAAACTATCAGGTGTGTGTATGTGTGTCTGAGTGAGTTCTGTACGTTTTCTTGCTGATTCAGGAAGTGCGCCTACAGCATCCTGTCTTTTTTCCATGCTTTAGGTCCCTGCTCTTCCCACACGCCACTATTGTGTGGGAATGTTTTTCTAACATACTCCCACTGACACTTCAGGAGTGCAAAAACAGACTCAGCGTGTTTGTGAACTCTTGAAGTTAATTATTTCTGCACGACAATTCACTCGACATGCGATGTCTGTGTTTGCTACGACAAGACCAGCTTCGCATTTAAGTTTATTTTCAGACATGATTTTGTCTGATGATGATGATGATGATGACGTCCTTCCAAAAAAACATGGTCAAAGAGATCATTTCTTTTCATGCATATTTATCATATTGTTTCACGGATTTACGCTTTACAATAAGGTCCCATTAGTTAACGGTGGTTTTTTATTTTTATTTTATTTTTTTTACTTTTTTTTTTTATTGGAACAAAGAACACAAAAGTTATCATGGATGTTACAATATCAGACAGTATCACAAAACATTTCCAACATCTTGATATATAATATCACACTCAATGGTTTACATACATAATCCATTTTTCCCAAAGCGTGTTGCATTTGTCAAATTTGAGCCTTAATATAAATGTAAGCCTCTCCATACTGTATATTTCGTTTACAATCCCTAGCCATTGAAGTTAACGGTGGTTAATGCATCAACTAACATGAACTAATAATGAGCAATATATTTAACAACTGTTCTCTGTTATTTCATGCCAGCTCAGGTTCATTCAACAATATTAACAGATACTCTTTGGGATTTAATAACATATTAGTAAATGTTGAAAATAACATGAACTAAAATTAATAAATACTTTAGAATTATTTCTTGTTAACAAATGATGCCTTATTTCATTGTTTCTTTGCTGTCATCTGATGGTTGATTGATATTCTTTCTCTGTAACTTGTAATTGTCAACATTTATCACTTTACTTTTTTTCTCAGGGGAAGTTAAACATTTTAAGACTCCTAAAGCATCATCAAACAAACTTGCACTCGACTACGACTTTTTTTTTTTTTTTTTTTTTGACCTTTATTTTACCAGGAAAGAAGCACATTGAGATTAAAAATCTCTTTTACAAGAGCGTCCTGGCCAAAAGCATGTTTTCATGTTTCCTACGCACAGGAACTTTAACTTTTCATATGGAGGTTCAAGTTGTGCATAATGAAACCCTTGTTTATTGAGCATGTGTGTGTATGTGTTTATGTGTGTGTTGTCTTATTGTTAGTTTGATTGCTTCTATTGCTCCTCATTTGTAGGTTGCTTTGGATAAAATCATCGGCTAAATGTAAATGTGTGTGTGTGTGCAGGCTACAGCACCGAACACTCCTGCTCCTCCAGTCTGTCTGATTTGACCCATCGCAGAAACACATCTACTGGCAGCAGCGTGAGCACAGACGTCCCTTCTGAGAGCGACACCCGTCCCGACCGGCCTGCACGACCCCCGCGGCCCATCTTGCCCTCCAACAGACCTCCACGGTACGCCTGCGCCAGCCGGGCCTGAAATGGGAGAGACATTAATGGGAGATGCTTTCTTATATCGCGTTAAACTAAACTAGGAAGGGTCACAGCACTTGCATACTGTCCTATTGCTAGTTTAATTGCTTCTATTGCTCTCCTCATTTGTAAGTCGCTTTGGATACAGGCGTCTGCTAAATCATTAAATGCAAACATAAATGTCTGGCATTACTGTATTTAATTTTATATATCAGTAGTTGAAAAAATTATAAAAAATAAATAAAAAGTTTATTAGTATTAAGTAATTTTATATCACATTTTATTTTATAAAATTATAAAATATATATATATATATATATATATTTATTTACCTGCATATGTAAACATGTGGCGACACACTGATGAAATATTGTCCCTCCACTTGAAGTCCGACGGGAAATGTTAACTGGTATTTCCGTCTGTTTCTTCCAGGAGGAAACAAGATTCGGTGGAGGATCAGCCGACCTGGGTCAACGACACGCGCATAGACGCAGACGACATCGTGGAGAAGATCGTCCAGAGCCAGAACTTCTCTGACATCAGTAACAATGAAGGTGAGAGTTTCAGATCCGTCCGTCTCAGCTGATCCCATTGCCGCATGTGTCCGCTCACGGATTAGAGATGTATTTTACACTTGTTGTAGAAATGCTCATGGCTGCTTTGCACCAATTAAAATAAAGGCTTTAAACTTTGCCAGTTATGTACGACTTTAAAAGAAAACTGCATGTAACATTTTTTTTTATATTAAATGTGATTTAATAAAATGATTATCATTGCATATTTGCATTGAGTTCCATTTTTGTGTTTCCATCTTATATTATTTTTTATTTAAAAACTGATCCTTTAGTTTTGATGATGTAAATAATTCATAATATAAAAGTCTGAAATATAATATACAAGTCACAATTATTAACATTTATTTTATTCAATAATCATATATTGATAAATATATTTATCAATATATGAATCATATATTTATATAATCATATATAAATAAAATAATATTTTATTTAATTTATTCAATAATCTATTATTTATCTGCATCAAAACTTAAACATAAAAAATCGAACTCAATACAAATATGCAATACAAATATAAAATTATTTATTGTTGATTTGCTTTGAGTTTTTCTTGTTATATATATATATATATATATGTGTGTGTGTCTGTGTGTGTGTTTGCGTGCAAGTGAGTGTGTGTGTGTGTGATTATAAATTATAATCATACTTATTATATATATATATATATGTTAACATATTAGAATTTATTATTAATTTACCTGCATCAAAACTGTAAATAAAAAAATAAAAATAAAATGCAAATAAAACTCTACAATAGATATGTACATTTTTTTTTGTAGATTTGCAAAAATAAGTTATATGATTGTATGTACATTTTTATTTTATTTATGCACATGTTATTTATTTTTTTATGTTATAAATTGGCGTTTTCAAGTGCTGCCAGCAGATGCATTAGAGAAGCGTGTTAGTTCCAGGTATGAACAGCAGTGTGTTGTCATCACACACACACACACACACACACTCACTCCTCTGTTGTGTTGCTCTTTGTTCAGACAGTAACCTGAGGCTGTTTGTAAGCCGCGACGGGACCACAGCGCTGAGCGGGATCCAGCTGGGAAACAGGTGATTCAACACAAACACACTGGATCTGGGTTCGTTCGGCCGGCGCAAAAACACACAACGTACTGATCAAACTCTGTGTTGTGTTCGCAGGGTCTCCGCTGGTGTGTTTGAGCCAGTCATCATTGAAAGCCATTAGATTTATTCCCACTTTTGTCACTGGAACAATCACACAAACTCTGATCTATTCAAATCACCTCCTGCATTTTCATTTTCTTACAAAAATGTTTAAGTGCCAAACCACTGCAGACACCAGATCCAAACCACTGCACTGGACACATTACAAGGTTGTCCACCGACTGCATGTATGTTGTCATTTACAGCTGCGTTCACATGTGATTTGTCTTTGTCTTGAGTTTACACATCTGTAAGTGTGCGTTTATTTTTGTGAGTCGTTTATAATTTGCGCCGAACACTACGTTTTGACGTGGACGGGCTCTTTAAGGCCTGTGATGCGTGACGTGGGCTTTTCCTGGAGCGTCAGCCGGTCTGAATGCTGTGAAAGGACCAGAGATGCTCTCTGACCCACTGGACGCCTCGTCTCGTCTCGTCTCTTGTTTTTCTGTGTTGCTGTGCAGCACAAAACTCCCTTCCTACAGATTCTAGTGTTATAAAAAACAGTTTAATGCACTTTACAGGACAATCTCACAAAAACACGTCCAGGTCACTTTGTACCTCAAAATTAAAAGGACAAGAAATTGTATTTTCCACAAAGAAAATGACTATTTTAGGATCATTAAGATATTTATGGATGGTAACATCAATGATAATTGAGCATTTATTGTTTAAAATTTTTTGTTATTTTCGTAATTAATTTCAATATATATTTTCAGTTAGCTTAAATATGCTATTTACAAATACATTTGAAATATATATATATATATATATATATATATATATATATATATATATTGCATTACAAGACATTTGAAGTAATCTGCTTTATCATAAAGAATAAAGTCACAAATCTTAATGGTACTAATAATAGTCTTTTTTTTTAGATGAAAATATGACTTTTTTGGGATGAAATATGACTTGGACGTTTCTTGAAAGATTTCATGACATTCACTTTTACGCCCAAATCCCCCCAAACTGCATACAATTAAATACAAAATGCATAAAATTTCTAAATACACTGCAAGAAATTACTTTTATACTCACTTTATTTCTTGTTTTTCAACACAAATATCTAAACATTCTTTAAATCAAGATGCATTTACTGGAGAATCAAAATAAATAGTCTTGATTAATGAAAAATGTATCAAGTTTAGGCTTAAAATGAGAAAAAAATATCAGAATTAATTTGAATGAAGATATTTGTTCTTGTTTTAAGCACAAACTCTCTTCATTTTGACACATTTGACACACGTAATATTTTCATTCATTTTGCTTCTCCAGTAAATGCATCTTGATTTAAGTATGTTTAGATATTGGTGCTGGAAAAAAGGCAAAAATACTGAATAAAAAAGTCATTTTTTGAAGTGTACAACTTCTATAAGAGCATGTTTACGATATTGATTTTTAGTGGCACTTTCAATGCATAATCATCAGCCACTGCTGGTTCATGTACAGTAAAGTTTGTGTTTACTGTCATTATTAAAGTGAGTTTCATCTGCTCTTGAAATCATTAAACTGAGCTCATAGACTCATTTTTCCAATACAGAACCAGCTGGCTGGTTATTTTCCTTCACTAAAAATCCCTTTTGCAGTAAGACAGATAGTTTTATTGAAGACTAAGTGTGTTTTGTGTTTCTTAAGTGCACTTGATAAGCTGTGATCCACTCTTTCGGTGCTGCTCATATGAACTGAGTGCTTGTCGAAATCTGAATTCAAAGCACATGTTTTTTTAAAATAGTTTTTCAAACCGTTCTCGCTTATTCTAATGAGAATACACTCACAATACAGGTGCAACTCGAAAAATTAGAATATGGTGCAGAAGTTCATTTATTTCAGTAATTCAACTTAAAAGGTGAAGCTAATATATTATATAGACTTATTACATGCAAAGTGAGATATTTCAAGCCTTTGATGATTATGGCTTACAGATATGAAAACCTTTTTCACAATTTGGGGTTTTCAGTCATAATAATCATCACATTTATAGAAAAAAAAGGTTTGCAATCTCTCTCTTTGCATGTAATGAGTCTATATAATATATTAGTTTCACCTTTTAAGTTGAATTACTGACATAAATGAACTTTTCCACCATATTCTATGAATTTTTCGAGTTTCACCTGTAATTATAGCGCTTCAGCGTGTCAGCCTGCTAAATCACGATCACAGCATAAGCACTAAACAATATGCAGGATCAACTTTCAACTTTCGAGCAGAATGACGTTCATCCGTTCAGCACCAAACACTGAGAGCTTTACATGTTCTTTAACTGTTAGAGAGCACAACATGCACAAGCCCTTCATATCTCTTGCAAATAAGCTAACGTTTTAATGCTATATTAATAAAATAGACCTATAACTTAATAAATCTCTGTAATTTCAATGAAATTCACTTGTAGTTCTATATGTAGCGCACTATTTTTGTGAATCTCAAATGTGCTTTTAATCAATAAATTTTAAGAAACTCATTCTGTTTTGTTGTCATTATGGATGCGATATATTAATCTTCCATATTTTTTTCAATAATTAGCATTGTCTGATTGATTAACAGAAGGTTTTTCCTGCCTGTATCTCTCTAAAAGGTAAAAAAAGAGTTATTTGGTTATTAAATATTATGTAATGAGTTGATTTACATTACCATTTAAAAGTTTGGGGTTTTAAACTTTTTTTAAAAAGAAGTCTCTTCTGCTCACCAAGGCTGAGTTTATTTGATCAAAAACACTGAAATATTACCACAATCTAAATTAATAGTCTTCTATCTGAATAAATAGTAAAATTAAATTTATATCCTGTGATCAAAGCTGAATTTTCAGCCTTCAGTGTCAGATATCATTATATCAGATATAATCTTTATATATTTTGTCTTCAAGATTCTGTATTCTCATTTTTTAGCAATTTAATGCATCCTTGCTGAATAAAAGGCCTACTAAAGAAATGTGTAGCTACTCACTCCTCAGCAAACAAATTCAATTTCCATGAATATGCATTTGAAATGTATGAAATAGTGAGTTATGCGACACATTTTGTCCCGTCTGAGTGTGTTTTACAGTGCCGTTTCTTCCTCGGCGGGTCAGTTCTGCAGTGAGATCGCAGTCCAGAGTTCTGCTTCCTCCTGACGGTCAGCTGACAGCAGATCATACACCAAACACTGTCTTCTGGAGCCATCTGAACACCATTACTCGTCCTGAACGGCCGAAGCGCACATGATCCTGCAGGTACAAGGGACGACATGCATCAATAATATACAGATGAAACTCGAAAAAATAGAATATCGTGCAAAAGTTCATTTCAGTAATTCAATTTAAAAGGTGAAACTAATATATTGTGATGATGATTATGGCTAAACCCCAAATTCAAAATTATATCATTGTGAAAAGGTTCATAATCATCAAAATTATAACAAATAAAGGCTTGAAATATCTCACTTTGCATGTAATGAGTCTATATAATATATTAGTTTCATCTTTTAAGTTGAATTACTGAAATAATTGAACTTTTGCACAATATTCAATTTTTTTTCGAGTTTCACCAATAATGTGGGAATGAAATATAGATGAAGAATGACCTATGATGAAGTAAGCCGTCACACTGATGCAGAGGATGATGAGGAGGATCGTCCCGGGACCCACGTCCACCAGCGTGCAGGCGTTCGGACACGCGCAGGGACTCTCCACCCACATCTGCAGGAGCGCGCCCTCGCTCAAGCTCACGCTGGACGTCACGGAGTGATTCGGGCTGCATCGGTAATGAACCACAGTCTGAGGCTCGCTGTCAGGATATACTGAGGAAACACAATAATATATTGCTTTCAGAGAGCATGAAACATTTAGTGAAATTTCTCTGAGTGCCACTTAAAGATCAGATGCAGTTTTCTTTACTGCGTGTGCAAACCAGTATATTGAAGATCTCATGATTTCATTAAATAGTCAATAGCCTTTTGCTTTTACAAGCCATGAAACTTTTTTACTGGGCAAAAAAATTGAGCACAAATTTTTGCTTCATTTCCCAGCCAGAGAAATGCTGTGATTCTTAAATGCAAATCCTATATCTGCAACAACAACATATTTTGTTGACTTTTAGGAGCATGAAGAAGTGCTCATAATTACAGACATGAACTAAAAGGCACAATATTTAAAATGTTTTAACAAAATGAAGGAATCGGTTAACTTAAAAATATAAATGTAAACAAATAGGCCTAAATTACTTTTAGCAAATTGCAAATAAATATGCATTTAAGATAATAAATCACTTTTAGACAGATACAGATAGACAGACAGACAGATAGATAGATACTGGTAGATAGATAACAGAGTGATAGATAACTGTGATAGATAGATAGATAGATAGATAGATAGATAGATAGATAGATAGATAGATAGATAGATAGATGCCTTAACACTCAGGTGCTCTTCATTTAGGTAAAAATTAAAAACTTCCTCCATTTATTTTTGTTCTATGGTTTTTCTTTTTAATTTTGTATTTTGAGAGAGTGTGATGTTACTTATTAATATTTATGCAATATTTATGGTCCATTTTTGCCATGGAAAATAATACAAAAACACTTTCTAATTTTAAATATTTCTTCAATTATTTCAGATTAATATAGAGACTAGGCCTTTTTAATCCATATTTTTGAAGTCATATTAGCGCCATCTGTTGATATAAAATTAAATAAAACGGTTATTTCATGGTGTTACCACTAGATGCTCGGGTCATGACCTCAAATTTTTTTTTAATCTAATTTTTTCGGTTAGATACCTGTTAAATGTAAGTGAATGTTGAATTAAAGGCGTCTTGCTGCAGTAACTTACTGGAATAAGACACCGAGAGCGTCTTCTCTGAGTCGTTATAGCTGAACCGATTGCCCGTGTGTTTGCCATAGTTGAAGTATTGAGTGACGAACCCGTTGTCCTGATGAATCCTAAAATCAACTTTCATGAGTTTCACATAACATAACGCCACATCTACAGATGAAGACTGGCTGTGAGTTGACAATGAACTATTGTAAAGCTTGTATCCTAACAGTTGTCTGTGTCTCCTCACCGTCTGCTGACACACACAGCCACGCCGGTGCAGTCGGTGTCGCTGAAGCGCTCGGGCTCAGAGAAGGCCAGGCACGGGCTGAAGGACAGCAGCACATCTGGGGTCTGAGGCGCCGACGGCAGGGGTTTGAGCCGCTGTACGAACCCGTCCTCGTCTGCCAACCGAGCCCAGATCAATGAGCCCGGATCCGTCCCGCATCAGACATTTACACTCATTCACTTTAATACAGCCGCCATGCTTCAGCTCGGATGGAGGATCCGCTGCTGTGAGTCCTAAAGAGAAGTAAAGCACAACCAGAGAGAGGACAACCATAGTGGACATTCACTGATACCGAGTCTGAGAGTCTGAACACTAAATAACACTGCAGTCCGTTCACACACCAGTGATAATAATCAACATGAGTGTGTCAGATTCCAGCAGAGCTCCACCACACCAACATCTATCTATCTATCTATCTATCTATCTATCTATCTATCTATCTATCTAT